ATGCGGTACCCCGGATTTCACCCGGGGTACCGTAGAACTCCCCATATATATATATATATGGAAATGAAAAGAGGAGAAATGTAAGTTGCAACCAACCCATCTTCCCCAATCGATCGATCCATCTCGTCCATGGCATTTGGATTGGATTTGTGGGGTGGTCGTGAGTAAATAGGAGCCCCATATTTGATCCAGTTCTACAGTACTAGTACTGGAGGTCTGGAGCCGTTTCATTTGAGGTCCTTAATTAATTTGGACCCAATGATAGATTGGACATAGGGTCACCATTACCCCATAACCCTAAGTGCAGGCCTATCAATTAGAAATGAGATCTAGAATATCGATTAATTATTTGCGAGAGGAGGTGATCTAGACACAAGAGAGAAGAAGAGTCTCACAATTGTCTTCCCCTATTTTTCATGACCTAGCTACAGACTAGAGTTGTCCAACACTTTTTTTGTTTTTTACTATTTATGTCACGGGCGGAGCCATGATTTAAAGTTCGGGGGAGGGGGCGGAGTAACTTTGTACATTATCGTCAAAATGAAAGAAAAAAGTAATATATATAAGTATATAACAATATAACATTAATTAAAATAATCGAAAGCACTCAAAATATAATAAATGTATCATGTAATTTTTTCAATTTTATTATGCATTGAATATGATTTTATGATTATATTAATGTTTGTACAAATTAATTAAATATAAAAAATCCTTGAAAATATGAATGTAGAACTTCAAGAACTCGAATGACGTTATTTGAAATTGTAGGATTAATAAGACAAAGCAGAAAAATTAAAGGATTGAACTGGAAAAAATCACTAATAAAATAATAAGGTAAAACTGCTGCCTACCAGACTCGAACCAGTTATCTTTTAGATGTAAAAATGCATTCTCACCACTAGGCTGTAAATCTATCTTGGTAACAATTTGCAATTGGATTCTATCTATATTTATATTAGTGTATACGTAATTTTTGAAATTTACTACGACTTTATATGTAAATTTCAAAATTCTCGGGAGGCCCTCTACATAACTCCACCCCTGGTTTATGTATAGTAGCAAGTAGCAACATCGCCCAAATTGAGCGAAAATTAAAGAAGAGCCAATGTTTTTATTTTTTTTTCTCCCCCGATTTTCACCTTCTCGATTACTCACTTACCCAAAAAAAAATTGCTCTCTTTTTGCTCACGGCTAAAAATAACTTGCACGAGAACAATCAATCATCTACGCCCCACATTTGATTCCTTTCGAGCTGCGTGAGAGTCTCGGATAGCGTTTTTTTTCTTCTCTTTCGTCGGCACAAAGTCTTTAGGTTTTTCTTCTGAATCCCTAATGCGAGTTTGAGTGGGAGACAAGTGATGATCTGTGTGGAGTCTTTTGAGTTTGGGTTTGAGTGCTAGTACGCTGATTACGAGTTGTACTCGGACTCGGAGTTTCAATGTATAAGAGGAGGAAGCCATTTTGTGGTTTTGGAGGCAAGAGTTTTTAGACAAACCCTAGTTTTTCATAAGGAACATGGTTTGTTACTTTCGATTTTGATATACAGAGTTTCTTGTGTGAGCTACAGTTTAGGGTCATGGAACAAGCGGCAAATAAAGTAGGAGCAATGGTAGACAAAGAAGTTACTGGTGTGGTTGTGTGCTTGTGTGCCTCGAAAAACTGTCTCCCAAATGGAGGATACAAGAGAGAAGAGCTAGGGCTGTTAATGAACCAAGCCGCTCATGAACGACTCGGTGTGCGACTCGAGAAAAACTCGTTCGACACTCGATTCGTTTTAATCGAGCCGGCTCGCGAACAAGCTCGTTAACTAAACGAGCCGAACTCGAGCCATACCATGTTCAGCTCGAAAGCTCGCGAACAAGCTCATTTAATGGTTTGACATAAATAAAGTTTAGAATTCATGGATTTTATGTATTGAAATTGGGATAAATATTGTCTTTTACTTTGCTAGACTTTGCTATAGGTTAGAATGTAATTTTGTGCACAGTTCTATGTCAATCTTGAGCTATTATGAACATTTTATGAGATGAACTCGAATTTGGGCTCGTTAAGCTTATTTGACGAGCCGAGCTCGAGTCGAGCTCGAGCTTTCATTTTCATAAACGAGCCGAGCTCGAGCTTGCATATTAAAGCTCGTGACGAACACGAGCCGAGCTCGAGCCTGGAAATATATTAACGAGCCGAGCCCGAACTATGTCAAAGCTCGGCTCGACTCGGCTCATTAACAGCCCTAAGAAGAGCCAAGTTGTCTTCCCCCTTTTTCATGACCTAGCTAGGGACTAGAGTTGTCCAACCCTTTTCTTACTGTATATGGATTGCAGCAGCATGCCGAAATTGTAGAAAAATTAGAGAAGAGCCACAATATTATTTCCCCCGATTTTCAAATCCTCAATTGTTCACGTACTAAAAAAATAAATCCATTTCCTTTTGTAATGAATTGATTAGTTGTGCTCATATGTTATATCTTCATTTCAGACTAATGTTACCAATTAAAATCCAAGATTCAATGTCTTAATTAATGTTATTTCGTGTCAGTGAGTAGTATATGATCCACGATTGAACCTCTTTTGATAACTTGAGTTATTGGGATCAACTTGTTCTTGACATTTAGATTTAGACATATGGACCCCATTGTTACAGAATTCACCTTTCATTAACAATGTGATACACACAAATAAAGAATACTATAACATAAGATAACATAGAAAATCCTTAATTTTCTAACTTGCAGTTACAAAAATTTATCATTCTACTACATATATTATATATAAAAACCTCCTACTATAACAAAGAACACCTTTTAATTCAATCCATTTCTTTTGTTAAGATTTAATTTCTAGGTCATCAAATGGATTTTATAATGTCTATATGTGTTAGTTTATTTATTTGATTGTCTAATATGCTTAGCTAATTATTGAAACATCACTTTTCAAATGTAGATTGAACGAGAAGTAAGTTACACAATCAAATAATTTATAGTTTGATGAATAATTACTTAAAAGGATATATGAAAAGAGATTCACGCTTAGGGGAGGGGCTGAAAGAGAGAAGGTTAACCTTTATAATCATCTTACTTCCTTACCCTTTGATCAGCTTACTTCCAGTCCTTGTAGACCGGTCTGGGTTCCCAACCCAAGATCGGGATTCTCTGTTTCTTCAATGTACAGGTGCCTAGCCGATGAGTCATTTCCGGGAGTTCCTGATTTCCCCTATCACGAGATCTGGAAGAGCACCATCCCAACGAAGATTTGCTTCTTCTTGTGGACCCTTTGCCACGAAAGAATCCCCACGATCGACAGGCTGAAGAAAAAAGGTTGGGCACTCGTCAATCGGTGTGAGCTTTGCAAAAAAGAAGAGGAATCCCAGAACCACCTCTTCATCAGCTGCGAGTATGCTGGGAGCGTCTGGGATTTTTTCAGAAGAAGATGCAGACGGATTCCTCGTTTGGGAAGTGATATTAGAGACATCATTCGCAATTGGCCTGCTGTTTCTCCGGACTGTCTGGATGATTGGTTCAGCTACTGCCTCATTCACGCCCTGTGCTGGAACCTTTGGATTGAACGAAATAGGCGCATTTTCGACGAGGTATGCACTCCTTTTGGTGTTACAGCGAGGCGAACTGCTGAAGTCATCATCAACTGGATCACCGCTAACGGCAAAGCCAACAAACCTCAGAGCATTGAGTGGCTAAAAAGCCACTTTGAGTGATGTGCCTCTGCTTTGCTTTTGGATCCTCATTTTCGGTTTATTCATAGGTAGGATCTGATGGCTGCCTCCTGATTTGGGGTTGTCTCCTTTTTGGCTCTTTCCCTGGTGATTCTTATGCATTGTAGTGTATGTTTATTGTTTTCTTTCTTCCAGCAGTATTCTGTTTTCTCTGTTTCGATGTTCCAAGTTCAGCCCTACTGAACTTCGAGCACTTGTTGTAATTTCTCGATTTAATTAATATTCACCCTTATAAAAAAAAAAAAAAACTGAATAAATATTATTCAATTTATTCATAAATAGGACCCCAGTAAGATTGGATATCGGCTACGCTACAGACCATCGCAATACAGAATAATTTCATGCATGTCGAAAACATTGTTATGAGGCACAAACCAAATCATCCAAAAATATCGTTTCCGAGCCAACAGGCCGGACTACAAAATTGGCATACAAATATATATAAGTTGTTCATCCAACAAAAAATGGCCAAACAATAATTTTTCCCATTCTAGGTGTTCCGAATGGCCCGGTCCGAGACGGTTCGGACAAAATCATGACAACCACAATCTAATAAAATAAATTCAAGGATTAAAAAACCGAATCATCGTTGTATTTAATATGGTTTCATAAGGTGAAATAGTCACAATTTAAATTTCCTCCATTTTCTTGAATATCCATATGATTCATGAAATCAAACACCGAATCATGTTATATTCGATCCAATATTATTCGATCTTAATGTTGTTTTGTCCCGTTACGGTGAGCAAACCTTTCCACACACCCCTATCATTTAAAACCATATATAGCAAACTCCACATTTTGCCCAAACAATTATATTGCCCTTACTTGCCTTAATTAGTTGTTTTTACCATGACTTCCATCCCCTCCTTGTCAACATCAACACATATTAAATTATACACTTAAGCTATATAACCCAACCATAACACCAAACAGTTCACCAACATCCTCACTTCCTCCCTCCATCCATCCCTTAAAACTAATACTCCCAAATTAAAACTCCCAACTTGCCCTACACAAACCCCATTTCCCCCTAGCTTCGCTTCCTTCACCACACTACACGACACGTGGCACCCATGGCAGATTCGTAAATTCCTCCTCACTACCACCCCAAACTCGTACTTTCAGCCAGGGAATTCAATTCCACGCGCGCTGAGCTGGACGTGGGACTCACAACAATTAAAAGTTCGTTGGGGTAGTTGCATCCTCCCTCAGCCCTCTCCATTTCCCTCCCGCCTTTAAATCCCCCCGCTTTCTCCCAAACCCTTTCTCCATTTCCAACCATCTCTCCCCTCAACCAAAAAAAAAAAAAAAAAAAAACCCTCTACAATTCCAGCTCATCAAAACATGGCGGCGGAGAGACCACCACACCCGGTGACAATCCTCGACCCTCCGCCGCCGCCGCCGCAACGAAAACTCCCAAACTTCCTCCTCTCGGTCCGCCTCAAGTACGTGAAACTCGGGTACCACTACCTCATCTCCAACGCCATGTACCTCCTCCTGGTCCCCGTCCTCGCCGTCTCCTCGGCCCACTTATCCACCCTCTCGGCCCAAGACCTCCTCCGCCTCTGGGCCCAGCTCCGCTTCCACACCGTCTCCGTCGCCCTCTGCTCGGGCCTCCTCATCTTCCTCGCCACCCTCTACTTCACCAGCCGGCCCAGGAAGACCTACCTCGTGGACTTCGCCTGCTACAAGCCCGGCCCAGAGCGCGAGTGCACGCGCGAGATCTTCTACGAGCGCTCCATCCTCGCCGACAAGTTCACGGGCGACAACGTGGCGTTCCAGAAGAAGATCCTCGAGCGGTCAGGGCTCGGGCAGAAGACGTACCTGCCCGAGGCCGTCATGGCGGTCCCACCCAATCCCAACATGGACATGGCCAGAAAAGAGGCCGAGGCCGTCATGTTCACCGCCATCGACGAGCTCTTGGAGAAGACCGGGGTCAAAGCTAAAGATATTGGGATCTTGATTGTCAACTGCAGCTTGTTCAATCCGACGCCGTCTTTGTCCGCCATGGTGGTGAATCATTACAAGCTGAGGGGGAACGTGATGAGTTATAATCTCGGCGGGATGGGGTGTAGCGCGGGGCTTATCTCCATCGATCTCGCCAAGCAGTTGTTGCAGGTAATTCAGATTAATTTCGTTTGGGTAGTGATTTAAGTTATCTGTTAATTAATTATCGTGTTAATTAATAATGTCACGTTGAGGAACAACAAGGAGGGAGTTGCATTATTATTATTATTATTATTATTATTATTATTATTATTATTATTATCATAATAATTTTCGTGATTCTTGCTTAAGCCGATGGAGATTGCGTTGGTTTACATAATCTCTCAATGGTTGACATCGTGAATTTAATAGGAAGAGATTAAGCAAGCAAGCATGTGTGTCGTGTTTCTTCAGCTAAATAATAATTAATGTAGTCTTGTAGTGTACATCTTTCATATAAGGTTATGTGTCACTAAAACTTGTATGTAGTCTAAGCTGAGAAAAAAATTTCCCCTTATTCATCTATTTAACCTTCCTTTTGACAGTGACAAAAGTTAGAATTTTAGAATGAAAAGTGAGAATAGTTTATCTTTTGTAACTTTTTCGTTGATTTTTTGCGTAATATATGATGCACCCGTTATAAGCTACAACGTTATTGAAGCGTAACTACAACTCACCATGAACTGACACGTAGTATTGTCGATTTAGGGTGATCTTTTTTACCTGTCCTTTCGTGGTAGTAGTTAGTGTAAAGGGTCATAGGACGGTGGAGTGATGAAATATGGGTCTGGAAAATTATGGAAAAGGGACACAATGATGGTATTGAATGCCCTGAAAACGGTGTGTAAGGGTACGTCAGGCGGGTACATATTATGTGGGGGGAAAGAGGAAAAGTTCACCACTACATTTTCTACATATAAACTTGGAGAGCTGGTTTGGGCATGGTTGGCCGTTGCAGTAGTGACATAAATACGTGTTAGTTTCTGTGATTTCACTATCCAGGATGCCAAACAGCTTTTAAAGTATTTTTCTTTTTCCAGCGGGAGGGTTGGGAGTTGTCAAACGTCAACCCTTTTAATTTGGAAAGCTTTGTCTGTATTTGATGGCAATTATGGGACGGGTTGGACAGATTCTTAATATTCATACATGTTCCGCCATTAAGTACTAGTCAGGTTGGGTAATACTTATCAGCGGGTGTGGATCGGGGTATAGGTCGACCCATCGTTTTACATAATTTGAAAAAAAAAAAAAATTATTTTAACTTCAAACACAGAGAAATAGTTCATAAATAGAATATAGAAATAATAGGGAGATTATTTGAAGGAAAATTAATTAACAGATGAAGTCTTTCACTAATTTAAAGTATCATCTGATGAAAATATGGGTTAGGATAAATAAAAAAATAAAATAAATACAACAAAATAGAATATTAAGATCAATCAAAGATAAAACAAATCGAAAACGGCCAGGAAGAAGAAAACGACAAAAGTAATACCCATTTTCCGCCCCATAACATTGTGAATCGAATATTACCCGCTTAATACATATTAGATTGAATAATACCCAACGAATCCAGTTAAAATTACCATCAATATTTGTCTGCCTCATAAATACTTAGTAAACAGCATAATGACCATCTTCCCCACCGATATGCTTTTAAAATTATATTTTCTAGTTGGTTGGATGTTATAATAATTATAATACAACATTATGGGACTTATTAGGTTGGCAGTTCAACCAACTCCCGTACCTCCATTCAATGCCATGCATCATCCTAAAGTCTGTTTGACCCGGCAAAGATTTACTTTTACAGTTTACCACGTGGTTTTAGCAGTTAGTTAACTGTGTGCGGCGGTTAAATTTACCTTTTTTTTTGTTTACAACTGCAGGTACATCCGAACTCGTACGCCCTCGTGGTGAGCATGGAAAACATCACCTTAAACTGGTACTTCGGCAACGACCGCTCCATGCTGGTCTCCAACTGCCTCTTCCGCATGGGCGGCGCCGCCATCCTCCTCTCCAACCGCTCCTCCGACCGCCGCCGCTCCAAGTACCAGCTCATCCACACCGTCCGCACCCACAAGGGCGCCGACGACCGCTCCTACAGCTGCGTCTTCCAGAAGGAGGACGACACCGGCCGCGTCGGCGTCTCCCTATCCAAGGACCTCATGGCCGTCGCCGGTGAGGCCCTCAAGACCAACATCACCACCCTCGGCCCGCTCGTCCTCCCCATGTCCGAGCAGCTCCTCTTTTTCGTCACCCTCGTCGCCCGGAAGGTCTTTCAGGTTCGGAAAAAAAAAATCACTCAGTACTACATTGATTAATTTTTTATTATTATTTTATGAAGTAAGAGTGATAAAAAAATATAATGCTTGCTAATAAGCTGTCTGACATTGACTAGTTTCAAGAAGTGTGAGACAGTGGCCAGCAGTGAATTTTTTAGAAGGTCAACTTAACCATATTAATTAAATCAACAGGTGAAGAAGATAAAGCCGTATATCCCGGACTTCAAGCTGGCGTTCGAGCACTTCTGCATCCACGCCGGCGGGAGGGCGGTGCTGGACGAGCTGGAGAAGAACCTGGAGCTGACGGACTGGCACATGGAGCCGTCGAGGATGACGCTGCACCGGTTCGGGAACACGTCGAGCAGCTCGCTGTGGTACGAGCTGGCGTACAGCGAGGCGAAGGGGAGGATCAGGCGAGGTGACCGGACGTGGCAGATCGCGTTCGGGTCGGGTTTTAAGTGTAACAGTGCGGTATGGCGGGCGCTGCGGACGGTTGACCCGGCGAAGGAGAAGAACCCGTGGATGGATGAGATTGGGGAGTATCCTGTTCATGTGCCCAAGGTGTCTTCCGTTATGAACAAGGATAAATAAGTAGTAATTAATGGTGTTTCGGTTCGATTAATATTCATTTTTCTACATAAATTTGTACGTGGGCGGGTGGGAAAACCCTGTTGTTGGAGCTGGATGTGTTATGGCCCATTTGTATTAATGGAAGTGTTCATGATCATGTATGATGATAACTGGCATCAAAGGAGATAAAATTAGTACGATTAATTTCATGACTATGATTGGAATTCTGTGGTTGTATCTATATCATTCTCTTATCATTCTGTGATTGGAATGTGTTAACCAGCTCCGTCCCATTTGCCTAAACAACGTTTGTTTGAAAGCTATCACCAAAGCCATTACCAATCGATTGAAACCAATCATTCACAAACTCGTAGCAACAACGCAGAGTAGTTTCATACCTGGGAGGCAGACAACTGATAATATCATTGTGATGCAGGAAGTGCTCCATACGATGCGTAAGAAGAAAGGCCAACGTGGGGGATTAGTTATTAAAATTGACCTCGAAAAAGCCTATGATAGGCTTCGGTGGGACTTTCTCCGTGATACCCTATTTGAAGTTGGCCTTCCAAGTAGTTGGATAAGCCAGATTATGTTATGTGTGGAACACAATACCATGATACTCAAATGGAATGGAGAACTCTCACCACCAATCACCCCTTCTCGAGGGATTCGCCAGGGAGACCCTCTGTCGCCTTATCTTTTTGTCTTGTGTATGGAACGTCTTTCACATAGAATCAATCAAGCTATTCATGAGAAATTTTGGATACCCTTGAAACTTTCCCAAGAGGGACCGAGGCTTTCTCATCTCTTTTTTGCAGATGATTGAATCCTTTTCGCAGAAGCAGAAAACAGCCAGATTGATACTATTAAAGGGTGCCTCGAAGATTTTTGTGAAAGCTCGGGACAAAGGGTAAACCTCTCCAAATCGGTCATGTATGTCTCCCCCAATATAAGGCGAAGCAAAGCAACCGAATTGAGCAACATAGCAGGGATCCCGCTTACATCAGATATTGGCTGTTATCTTGGAATCCAAGCCATCAACGGGCGAGTTAACAAACAACGATACTCTGAGCTCATCTGCCGAATTAAAAAAAAAACTCTCTCCTTAGAAGGCGCGACGATTGTCATTAGCAGCTCGTTTAACAGTGGTCAAATCAATCTCCTCCTCAGTCTCTATTTATCCCATGCACACATAATTCTTGCCTACTTCTACTTGCAGGTACTTTGACCGGCGTAACAGGGACTTTGTTTGGGGAGATACGAAGGAGAAGAGAACGATGCACATGGTCTCGTGGGACAAGCTAAAAGAACCAAAAGATAACGGGGGAGCAGGACTCCGATCTACCCGGCATGCCAACCTTGCAATGCTTGCCAAGACGGGATGGAGAATGCTCACAGAACCCAACTGCATGTGGGTACGAGTTCTGAAAGCAAAGTATGTAAAAAAGAAACATGGGCTGGACATGTTTCATGCATCAAAGGGAAGCTCTTTTACTTGGCGTAGTATTAATAAAGCCACTCATGTTCTTGAGAAAGGATGTGCTTGGAATATTAAGAACAGAAAGGACACAAAGTTCTGGACTGATGTTTGGATTTTGCAGGTACCACTACAACAGTTAGCAAACTCAACAATCCCAGAATCTCTTCTCCAAACGAATGTCTCAGAGTATGTTGACCAAGGAGGACAATGGATTAAAGCCAAGTTCCAATCTTTGCTGCCACAAGAAGTAACAGAAAAGATTACAACTATAGTCGTTGATGCCCAGACAACTTCCGCTAACAAGATCTTTTGGAGAGAGACCTCAAACGACCACTTCTCTACAAAGACAGCATACGATTTGGCTCATCCACCGCCAACACCTACAGCAGATCCACAACCACCTTGAAGAAACATTTGGATGCTTCCGGTTCCTGAGCGAGTTGGAACTTTTGTCTGGTTATTGTGCCTTAACAAGCTCAATACGAGACAAAGGCTTCACCCCAAGAATCTAGTTTCCTTTCCATATTGCCTGCGATGTCCCAACGCCATCGAGTCGCGCAGCCATATCTTCAGGCACTGCACAACTGCAAAATACTTATGGAAGAGAATCATCCCACCTACACAACAACCGCAGTTCTTTGCACAAGCAGAAGCAGTGTGGCACTCCGATAACCTTTCCAACAACGACCTAGGACCTCGACAAACTCCATGGGAATTTTTCTTTGCAGTCTCAGCATGGATACTTTGGAAGCATAGGAACGAATTCTCCTTCCATGGTCAGAGTAAGGTCTCACTCCGCCATCCCTTACTAATGCTATTCTATCTACAATGGATTTATGGACAGCAGCTTGGAATTCCCCAACGCCAAAGTTTAACAATATGCAAGGGCCAGCAGAAAGAATTTTAGCCCAAATCGGATGGAAACCCCCACCCCCGGGATGGCATAACTTAATACTGACGGTGCAGCTCTAGGAAGCTCGGGATCAGCTGGAGCGGGAGGCTTGCTTCGAGGCCCTAGTGGGGAATGGATTAGAGGCTTTGTCTACAAAATCGGTAGCAGTACAACAGTACTAGCAGAACTTTGGGCGATACATGAAGGCCTCTCTCTTGCTTGGAGCATTGGACTAAAGTGTGTGATACTTGAAACTGACTCCAAGGCTGCGATTGAACTGATAAACGAGAGGAATGATCCTATCCATCCTCACTCCACCCTATTGGACTCAATTCGGCGAAAACTAGCTCAAGGATGGTTAGTTTGCACGCATCACTCATACGTATCGTGAAGGGAATAGAGCCGCAGACTGGCTCTCGAAGCACAGTCTCGTATCCTTTTGGATTGTACGAGTTTGCGAACCCTCCTCCTGAGCTGCAGCAGATAATATTGGATGACATGAGCGGCATTAGCTTCGATAGATACATTGTAGCCGAGAACCACTGTGATGGTGCTGGCACTTCCCTACCTCCCATGTAATCTTCTCATGGCCTCGGCCTCCATTTTATAAAAAAAAAAAAAATCTATATCATTATCTTTTTTTTTAGAAATGTAAGTGGGTTCATGTTAAGTGTTCAGTGTTACAACCCTTACAGGTTTGATCAGTTCGTTTTGTTCTCGTCACAAGAATGAAATTCCCAATTGACTTCGAAATTCTAAATTGATGTTTCCTAATTGATCGATTAATTAGTAAATTAAAAAAAAGAATACTTCTATAGTTCTATTGGTTGTGATTGCTTATATTTACTAATATTTAGTGTTGGACTATATTGTAAAGTAGACTTAGTTTAAGTACCTTGTTGTAATGTTTGTTTATATTATGTACTGTTTTGTTATTTTACTTATTTACAGCTGTATATATTGTATCACGAACAGTGTAAACTTTACCTTTGATGAAATAAAATAAGTAGCCTTTTTGCCTCCCAACATGGTATCAGAGCAAAACCGTTTCTAGAGAGTTCTTTCCGTTTCGTCTCTTTTCTTGCTTCCGCGTTCTCTTTCCATGGCGACTTCTTCCGCCTCTTCCTCTTCGTTCCAGCCGCCGTTGCCGATCTCGGCGACGCTCGCACCAAATCATCCGTACTTCATCAGTTCTGGCGATTCGTCCACGGCGCAGCTTGTTTCCGTCGTTCTCACCGGGCCGAATTACCATTCCTGGGCCAGATCGATGAGATTTGGTCTTCTGTCGAAGAACAAGATCTCTTTCGTAGATCCTTCCGTCCAGACGCCTCCTGCTGGCGATCCGCTCTTCCAGGCCTGGCAGATGTGTGACACGCTCGTCCTCGGGTGGATTCTCCGGTCGCTCTCGCCGGAGATTGCACAGAGCGTTCTCTGGCTCAACACTGCGGTCGAAGTTTGGCGAGATCTCCAGGAGCGCTTCAGCATCGCAGATCTAGTTCGCGTCGCTGATCTACAGGATGAGATCTATGGTCTTAAACAAGGCGATCTTTCTGTAAGTGCGTTCTTCACTAGATTTAGGGTTCTTTGGGATGAGTTGATGACTTACCGTCCTGTGCGATCTTGTGCATGTGTTCCTCGCTGTTCTTGTGCTGAGTACATGAGAGTAGATCAGGTTATTAGGTTCTTGAGAGGTCTGAATGAGGATTTTGAGTCTGTTAGGTGTTCGATACTGTTAATGGATCCTCTGCCTCCCATTAACAAGGTCTTCTCCATGATAGCCCAGCATGAGCGTCAGATTAGGAATCCTAACCCTAAACCTGTCAATCCTATGGCCTGTGCTGTTCAGTCTGGTCCTCATAGAGGGAATAACCAGTCGAAAAGGCCTGTTTGCTCGTTTTGTGGCTTGACTGGGCATACTGTTGATCGTTGCTACAAGAAACATGGTTATCCACCAGGGTATAAGCCACGTCCTAGAGTCAATGCTGTGGTTAGTGAGTCTGTTGACACTAACAATTCTGGTTCTAGTGAGAACGGAAGTGTTCCTTCCGATTCTGTTGTTTTGACACAGCAGCAGTATAGAGCATTGTTTGCTCAGAGTCACCCTCAGGCTCTTCCTCCTCCAGTCCCTACTGTGAACTCTATCACCACTGGAGGTTGTGTCGAGCAGTCTTATCCATCACACACTGCATTCCTGGCTTCTTCCTCAGGTGCTTCCTCAAGCCAGGATGGAGGTAAGTTTATTCTTGCCAATTCTATGGTTGTTAACACATCTAAATGGATTTTAGATAGTGGTGCTTCTGATCATGTGGTGTCTGATATTGCTTGTTTAATATCACCTGTTGCTGTGTGTGATGTGTTTGTATCATTACCGAATGGTTCTCGAGTTCCTGTTACTCATATAGGTTCGGTTAGGCTAAATGATCAGTTAATTCTGCAGCGAGTTCTTTTAATACCTAAATTTGGTTTTAACTTGATCTCAGTTAGCAAGTTAAGCAAAGATTCGTCATGTTCTTTGACGTTTTTTACTGATCATTGCTTACTACAGGATCTGGCTTCCCACAAGATGATTGGTATAGCTAGAGAGAGCGGTGGACTTTACTGTTTTTCAGAAACAGTGCACACCTCAGCTCCTCTGCCTCTACCAATGTCTTCACCTTGTCCAGATTCTTCTGTTTTTTCAGTGCTGTTTGATAAGACTGTTCATGATTTTGATCTTTGGCATTTTCGCCTAGGTCATGTATCTTTGTCTCGTTTACAAACTCTAGCATCTAGAATAAGAGGTATTGATTCTAAATGTACAAAACACTGCTCTGTTTGCCCACTGGCCAAACAGAAACGTCTTCCCTTTATGGTAAGTGAGTCTCAAGCTGAGCATATGTTTGATCTCGTGCATAC